CACAGAGTGTGATGTAATCAGCTAATTGATGTGCTAACATCGTGTAGATTCATAACTGAAATCATTCTAGAGGTCTTTGATACAAAAGTAACCCTAGAGAACCACGCTCCACGATCGTATTTCACTTATTATAAGTTAGTGCTTGATTAAAATCCCGCCCCTTATAGCTCTAGATCAGAAAAATTATATGTAGGCCATACAAACAGGTCTCGAGTGAGATACGAACCTGCGAATCCCTGCAGCACCGTAATTTAAATGTCGAGTACTTACTACAATATCATTTAAAATTAATAATACGCCACACAACAACGTAACACATCATAATAAAAACAAAATTACATATTCACACGAAGAACTGCCATTATATACCACCATACAAGATGATAATTATATCTCATAAGCTCATAACACTATATTAAGTTAACATAACACTACGAGTTTGCCAGATTTGTCTTTTCTACCGACTTTAAAAAGGAGGTGGTACTACTCAATTCGACTATGTTTTTTTTTATGTGTTACCTCATAACTTTTTTCTGGGTGAACCGATTTCGAAAATTGTTTTTTTGTTTGTAAAGCTGGTGCTTCTCATATGGTCTCATGATCAAAGTCTGATGAATAGTTTTTGAGTTATTCTTAATAATTTATATTGAAGTCGGTTGTACAAAATATTAATTTTAAATTATTTAAAATAATCTCAAAAAGTCGAAGTAAAAATGAAAATAGTTGATAGCATAATTGATTCATTCATCATTATATTTAAGACCTAATATCGTACACTTGAACTAAATAGTTTGTTGAGGACAAATTTACATAAAATATTTTTAAGATCTTATTTTATTTTTACCTATAGTCAAATAGTTTTTAGTTTGATTTGAATTAAACGCTCTCCAATAAGGCTTTTGTCTAATGTCTAAGACATTATGTTTAAATTGTATATACAAACATTATACAGCTCTGTGATTAAGCGCTCGCTGTTAAATTTACAGTACCTACGCGAGCAATCAGGGTTAGAATTCGATTCCCGCCGGCACCAATAAAATTGTTGATTGCATTTTAGGGGCAGATTTACCATATGCGTGTGCGCATGGTGGTGAGCGAAAATATCGTGAGGAAATTTGATTGACTGAGGAATAAAAATATTTGTAAAGTTACATCATGTGAAGTCTGCTAACACGCTGGACAGTAAGACGGACTAATAAATAACATAAGTATAACCCTCTCAGAAAGGAGAGGAGGCCTATTCCTAGTAGTGGGACATCTGTAGACTGTAACTTTACTTTATTATTGTATATTTTGATGTTTATAAGTAAAAATATATCCTGTAAATTAAAATAATTTTAGGGACACCCTACATTGCTTGAAAATGAATGGCATATTCATGTCCATAAAGGACAATATTGCACAATGGATCAGTATACGTAGCATGCGTGCATCAAATACTAAGATGTTAGTATTATAATAAGCCACATGTTCTCTAGGTGAAGTTTATATAACTTTATATTACGAGTAATAACTAGCTGGTACCCGGCGCATTGCTGCCGCAGAAGAAACAATTGTGGAAATATCGTTTTAAATTTGGATAAGTTGTATTGTTTAATTAGGAACGATAATACATTCATTGAAATTGAATAATATGTGACTTACAAATAAATTTGTCGGTACGATACGCGCGCCACCTACTGTAATTTAATTGTACTATGCCTATAACCTTCGCGCAAGTACAAAGTTTTAGAGCAATCTGATGAACGGTATGGCAAATAAAATACGGACAAACAAATATATATTTTATATATTACATAGCTAGTTTAAAATTAACTGTAATTATATAACGAGCATTACAGAGATATAAGAAAATATCGTAAGTTTTTATTATATTTAATTTATTATTATTTGTAGGTTTATTTATTACCTACAATATAATCTTAAATAACAACCGTAAATACAAATAATCAAATAATGTTTGTATATATTTAAACATGATGCCTGAGGGTTTCTCTACCAGTCTGCTTGAGCTTGGCCTAAGGCTTGATTCATAATCGAGGATAGGTGTAGATACGAGGTGTGCCGCAGAAATAGGTAACGTAGTAGTATTAACATAGGCCGACTGCCAGGTTGAATGGGAGCCCTGATACCGACAAATTTGTTTAAGCCTGAGAGAAAACAACACAAGAAACAACCGTCATAAACTTATGAAACCCGAACTTTAACCTTTGTTTTTCTGGTAACATGGCGTTTTATTTTAGTCCTCAGGGGTGACAACGCATTTGCATGTTGAATGTTAGTCAGATATGGATGTAAGTGTGAGGGCCGGCGTCCACTTATCGTCAGCTAGACTGTGTGCTCGTTTGTCACTCTTGTTAAAAAATGTGAGCCTAGATTTAAATTTGCACCGTTAGACCACTATGATATCCTGCCCCACTACGCCCCGCGTCCTGTAAATTTCCAGTATTTGTTGTCCCTAGTGTATACTCCTTTTGTAAATATGTTGTGTGATTTTATTCGTACTAATAATATTAAACTGTAAAATTACTAATCAATTTTGGTGATGGTACTTAAAAATGTGACGTCTTTTGTTGTAGATTGTGAACCCACTTGTAAAATTGAGAACTCTTTAATGTAATAAATATTTACTTGTCACTCCCATGACTGACTTGACACTGGCAGAATTCTATCAAGAGAAGCCATAATTTAAAAGCAGAAGAAGATTTAAATTTGAAGTAATTGTCAAGATCTCTTGACCGTTAGACCAAAGAGAATATAATCACTTGCGTTAGACCACTTTTTCTGATTGGAAGTTTTCAAGGGTAGCGCTTTTTCAATTTTTATAGAATATTCTTCAGGGCATACTTAAAGATATTTTTTGTTATTATCGGTGGATTTTTCAATTCTCTGATAAAAGTTATTCATAGGATAATATACAACAAAAACAGATTAATAATTACAATTGTCCGTTGTATGAATATCATTCATTTGTTTCACTTTTATATTCAGTCAGGTTATAATTTATGTGATGAATAACTTCTATGCGTATTGATGTCCTTATTTTTTTTTTAAAAACAGTGCGGGATTTAGGGGCGTGCAAAGTGAATTGAAGCTTCACGGTCTCCACACGAGTGGACCACCTCCTGTACTCATACATAATAATTTTTCTAAATCGACTATTTGGTGTTTAACTGTACTGGAGAGCACTTATTTCCTAAAACAAGATTCCTACCTATGTAATATTTGTTTGTTAAACAATAATAATTACTTTAAGGGGCTTCCACTTCAAGCACTAACAGCATTGTGCTGTTTTGTCGAGTGTAATGACCTAAATTGTTACTGCAAGTTACAAGTCGTAAACTATAATTGTTTATATATCTCGTCCAATGATATCATGACCTTAGATAGTAGGTATTTATGTGTCCTTATCCGATGTCCTTTTGTTTATTTGTAGTTGTCCTTTGTTATATTGTTTTATGTCTTATTTCTTTATTTAAATTTCTTCGTTGCACAAAAATGTACAGTCGTTCTGTACCAGTAAGCATATATGTAAGCAGAGAACACTGCTTAGGAGGTGCAGTATATATGTATTACTTATACAATACTTTTATTGTGTATTTTAAACAATTTTGTATTGCATATATCATCATCATCATTACAGCCCTTCACAAGTCCACTGCTGAACATAGGCCTCCCCCAAAGAATGCCACAAAGCACGGTCCCGAGCCACCTGCATCCATCGACTTCCTGCACGTCTTACCAGGTCGTCACTCCATTTAGCGGGGGGACGCCCTACACTTCTCCTGCCGGTACGAGGCTGCCACTCGGGAACCTTTCTTTCCCATCGGTTGTCGGTTCTTCGAGCTATATGGCCGGCCCATGCCACTTCAGCATACTAATTCTTTGGGCTGTGTCGGTTACTCTGGTTCTACTGCCGATATCCTCGTTTTTACGTATATCACGCAGGGAAACACGCTCTCCATAGCTCGCTGAGCGACTTTGAGCTTCCTCATACGGCCAGGCAACTAAACTAAAGCAAGGCATTGCATATATAGATAAACAAAATTTTATCAAAGTTGTATATAATGGGCGTGTAGTTGTGGCGTAGGAGAATCCACTATCGCATATTATCATCCCGAGGATATGTTGTAAGAGGCGACAGAGGGAAACTGAAACAGGAGATGGGTTTCAGCAGTCCCGATAACGGCTCCATATAATAAATACTGCGGTTGCAGCCCGCTTGTCAAGCGTGGCAACTATGGCAAATAGCGCCCGTATGAGACAGAAAGGGAATGTAAAAGAAAGAAAGAAATAGTATTCGTTGTAAGTAGATAGAGCGGACCTAATGTCATTAGGCATTCTTTTTTTTTATAGGAGAGGGGGCAAACGAGCATGCGGCTCACCAGGGAGGGAATTGCAGATGCGTTGCCGGCCTTTTAAAAAGGAGTAAGCTCTTTTCTTGAAGGTCCCTAAGTCGTATCGGTCCGGAAAAATCGCTGATGGTAATCGATTTCACAAAAAAGTTGTGCGAGGAAGAAAACATCTTCTAAATCGCACAGTGGTGGACCGCCAATGGTGTGGATGGTATCGGGAGTTCTGCTGCGATGTGCGTTCGTGAAATTTGGCGGCTGGGTCACCCTATCCTATAAAAAAATGGTATGGGGTGGGCAGGCGACAGTAGCCCATTGCTGAATATAGACCTTACCCAGAAATTTGCCTCATGGGTGATATTTTAGTTCTCAAACGGGTTGACAACACAAATTTTCATTATTTTGTGTTGTTATCAAAGAGATGATGCTATCCATCTCCTGTTTTACTCCCTCTATCTCACGATTCCATATTCTCCTATGCCTATCGCCTTTTATGACAACCATAGGAGGATGAGGAATCGTTGATTCTCTTAAGCCGTCGCTACAAGGATTTATGTCATTTTTTTCTTTCAGCGGGTATTTAGGACCAATATATAAACACTAGTAAATAATAACTTAAAGTTAATCTTTATCTCCTATTGATTTCAGGTCTCACGGCTGGTGATCCTGCACGAGGAGGCTGAAGATGGGAACGCAATGCCGGACCTGGCGCGGCCGGTGCAAGCCGTCTCGCTCGCCGTCAATAATCTCGTCAAGGTAACGCTTTCCACCAACAACAGGTGTTCAAGTTCTGGATTCCCAGGCGAAGTTAACACTTGATGGTGATAATTAAAAGTGACAGGTGCACAGCCCAACTGCTAAATAGTCACCGTGGACCAAAATATTCTGACATCTGTTTTAATGATAAAGTGTAAAAAGTAAAAAGATGGAATGCCTGTTTTCCAGTAAAAAGGTTCTGCGGTTTTCTACACTCACCATACGAAACACAGCAGTGTCAAGCTGCCATTTCACGCTGGTATTCTGTGAGAGGGTGGTCCTTTCTCGGTCGAGCCGACTCATTCGTGCTACAACTATACTACTAATATCCTGCTTCCTGTCAGGAAAGTTTACATCTCGTATATACGAAATGGTTTTATTTTGTGATTACTTATCACACTTACTCACACATTACTTATCCATTGGATAGTAAGTAAAATCCAGGCGAATATCAATAATTATTACATAATATACTATTATAACGATGTATTAAAGACTACGTCTTTCAGGTCGGTCACGAGACCATAGAGTCCTCGGACGATGTCATCCTTCGCCAAGACATGCCGGGAGCTTTGCGACGTGTGGAGGGCGCCGCCACTCTACTGCAACAAGCCTCGGACATGTTGCGGGCCGACCCTTATTCCGGACCGGCCAGGTAAGGAGCTTAACTTAAAAGGAAATGAAAATTGAAAAATATTTATTTTTCGATGTAATAAGGTAAGAATGAGGTTCCTTGTCATTTTTTTTAACAGTCAAAACAAAAGTATTTATAAAAAATTTAAAATAATCTATTAATAACAAAATTATGTTTTACGACATTGATCAAAACATAAAGTCCAGTGCTGGACATGGACCTCTCTCGTTGTAGTAAGGATTAAAATTAATCATCACGCTTGGCAGTTGGATTGACGATCGTAATATCAGACGTGAGCACCTTTGACACTGCTGCCTGTCGCTGGTCAGAGTATTTTATATCTGGTATATACGGTGCCGTGGAGTGGCGGCTTAAGAATATCCACTATCCCATATCATACCATGGGTGTCGTAAGAGGCGACAGAGGGAACAAGGAGATGGGCAGTAGCGTCTTCCTAATAACGACTAAAAATAAAAAAATCTGCGTTTGCCAACCTGCTTGCCAAGCGTGCGCAAATATGGCAAATATTCCCTCTATGGGAGAGGTCTACGTTCAAAATTAGACTTTCAATGACTGTAACGGTAACGATATATTATACGATATGGTTATACCGCTGTATATTTCGTCCCGTGCATGTCGTAAGACAAATGAGATTAATTTTTTTTAACAAAAAGTAAAAACCGACTTTTATTTGCTAAAAATGAAGTTATTTATTTGCTACCCTTGGGGATGGAATTTTTTCTCCAAATTTATATGGGACTATCCTTGAAGTATAACCTATTTATTAAAAAAAAGGATCGTCAAAATTGGTTCACAATCTGCAAAGATATCGCGTAATATATATGCAAAGAAAACATACACTCGAATTGAGAACATTCTCTTGAATGAATTGCAGACCTAGCCGAGATCTCGAGCTTTACATTAAAGCCAGTCTCACGAGATCTCGGCTAGGTCTTAAGATTGCATTCCCTACGCCTGCGACACAGTTTTTGTTCTGAACTGCTGATCTATAGTAGTATACATAGAAGTGAAAGATAATTCTCTGTGTATTATTTACTTAATATTACAGAAAAAAGCTGATCGAGGGTTCCCGAGGTATCTTGCAAGGCACATCGGGTCTGCTGTTATGTTTTGACGAGTCAGAAGTGCGAAAAATCGTTAAAGAATGTAAAAAAGTAAGTGCTATTTGATATTTATTGTCATATCACTATATGTTTTTCACTTTGATATTTAATACGTAAATATGTTTCATTTTCTTAAGTTATATTTTGTATAGTAAGACAGTCATTTAAAAAATAACCTTTCGTAAAAATTATGCTTTATATATAATTTAATTCTGTAGTGCCATTTTCTATATGTTTGCATTTGGTTTTTTTCGTTCAAAGTCATATACTCTCTTTTTACGGCAATTGCATTGAATTAATTTTGCTTTTTCCCCAGGTGCTAGACTACCTCGGCGTCGCGGAAGTCATCGACACAATGGAAGACCTCGTGCAGTTCCTCAGGGATATCTCACCGGCGCTGTCTCGCGCTGCTAGAGAGGTGAGTTAATAATAAAATTTGCAGTAATATGATTTTGTTTCAACCCAAGATTACCATTACCCCAAAGAGGCAGTCTGTTAAGGTGTTCATACCGATATTTTGACACATGTTGTTTTTCCAACTTCAACAATTCAATCAACGAGGCAATATATAGACTGGCGATGGAGAGCAGCGTCAGAGATGCTCACGTCTGGTCACGTGGTCAGTAAGGCAAACCCTCTAAATGGGAGAGGTCTATGGCCACCGGTGGATTTTTAAGCGTCCACTGGTGGGCATAGATTTAGTAAAAAAGGGCGTTAATTTGTTATTACACATGTAACTTCTTTTCTTCCTTTTTATTATTTCTGACAACGCATTACAGGTAGCGGCCAGAGCATCGGAACTGACCCATCCACCACACGCGGAGACTTTGACCAGTTGCCTAGAAAGTGTTAAGCAATTGGCACCCGTTCTCATTTGCTCCATGAAGACCTACATTCATATCCTCACTGAAGGTAGGCCACAACAGAAATCAGTGTTTTTTTTATCTGTCTTTAAATGTTAAGTGTGTAAATAAATAATATTAGAAATATAATATTGCAATAATGCTTAAAATTCTACATTAGCACATTAAAAAAATGCGTTCGCCCACACTAGGATTTTCTCCTGTATCGTGGGGGCAGTTTACATACATAAAGAACAATGGCAGACTTTCATACATAAAATTAGTTGAGAAGAAATGGTAGCGTCTATATACCAAAAATATCTTAAAATGTTAAGCCTCAGTCCCTTAATAACTCTGTCAAAGAATTTTGTACTGAGAAGGCGTCAAAAAAAAAAGATATTTACATTTGAACTTTTTAGGTTATGTCCTATGTCACTTGGAAAAAGTCATGTTTTCTGTGGTTGTTTGATGTTAGCTTAATACATAATACATAATTGAGAGTTTTTAGATTATCTTTTTTAAAAAAAAAAAACGTTACCCCCACACTAGGATTTTCTCCTGTGTCGTGGAGGCAGTTTACAAACATAAATTGCACAAGGACAAACATCCAGACCCGGAACAATTATTTGTAGGCCATACAAATACTTGTTCCGTGCGAGATTCGAACCCGCGGCCTCCAGCGCAACAACTGATTGCTAAGCCACTGCGCCACGGAGCCGTCTTGTATCCGTTTGTATCTCTATTATATATTTGCATACTATAAATGTATATTTCTGGCATGGCTCCAGGTCTTTTGTATCATAGTGACATTCTCAGAAGGGCTAGAACCCAGAGCCGTAAAGCCAGTAAAAAAACAGTGACATTTTATTTTAGCTAGTGTTGGCATAACATTAAATGGAATTGTTACATACTATGATTGAGATAATGTATTATTGTAGGAAATTCTTTGTAAGAAACTGATTGTCAGCCATATCACTTTTATTTTTATTATTACTGATAGTACAGTTATTACTAATAATAACTTAATATAAAAATATTTTGTGTGTTGTGTTGGTAGTCTTACAAAGTGTATACGAAAATAGTATAAATATACTAAATGGCAACATTTGAATAGAGTAAAATGATTTAAGTCATTTGATATTCCCAAAATTGTTTGTTTTTTTTTCCTGTGGCTTCAATTAAAATACATTTTTATTTGAAAAATCATAAAAAAATAATAAAACTCATTTTATATATAACTTATTTCTAGACGCTATAATTTTTGTCAACTATTTTTCTGCCATTGCTCTTTCACAAGGACAAACATACCTACGGCCATTAGCGCTGCAACTTATTGTTAAGGCACTGCGCCACGGAGCCGTCAATATATTATATTCTTCTAATATCAAAACTATTATGGTATATATCGGTCCAGCATTTTACTGTCTAAAATGTTACCTACGAAGCAGATAGAAATGTATTGATGCGCATCCATTATGCGTAAAATATGTTACAACATTATAAATCACGATTTGAACAAAATTTACTTGGAGTACCCCAGGGTAGTGTGCTTGGTCTTCCTTTATATATAAATTATCGCACATAAAACACACAAAAAACAAATTTCATACGCACGATGCCATCGTACAGTAAGATACTATAATAAAGGAACTTTACAAAAGTTTAGAAAGCATTTACCTAAATGGCTATTACTGCACACATTTTATGACTTAAATCAAAAGATATGATACGGTAAAGTTACAAATATTTGCTAGTAAGAAGGATAATTCAGTATTTAAGTAAAATAAAGATTTTAATTCTTCATTAATTTTAAATCTGAAATATTTTAAAGGTGGTAAGGGAATGGAGGAAGCAGCAGAAAACAGAAACTACTTGGCGCAACGAATGGCAGATGAAATCCATGAAATTATTCGGTAAAAACTTTAATTAAATATTGTAAACTGATTTATTGAAAAGTTATTACAATGTAAATTACATTTATTTTTCTGATATTGTAATGCAAGAAAATATGATTAAGGGATGTCTCAAATCTTATATTTTTTTATCTTTGTAAACCTAATATCAAGTAGCTACATACATAAAAATAAATCCATTATCTAATTTGGATAAGTAAATGAATATACAAAAGCAATAAACACACCGAAAATTTGGACACGTGTGATAAGACCAATTTTAATAGCATCCTTTTGATATTTAGCGTATTTTATTCTAAACAGTTTTTGTTTTATTGCAGAGTTCTGCAGCTGACCTCATACGTGGAGGATGGTGGCGAAAAGGACAACATCGCAGTTCTGAAAGCTTTACAAACTCAGATACACACCAAGATGGGGACCGCACACGAGTTTCTTAATGTAAGCGAATGTATTTTTTAAATTTATAATGGTAACTTCGGAAATGTATATTGTTTTTTAGTATAGTTTTAAGTATTTTTGTAAAAACATTTAATTAACTTCTGTAAGAATAAGATACCCTGAAGCTGGAAGAAGGGATAGACAAGTTGCGCTCTGATATTATAGTGGGTTGACTGGTAGAGAATGCCACAAGGCATTAAGTCCGCCCTTTGTATTCTTTTAGATTAAGGGATGCAATAAAGAATAAATAAATAAATAAATATCTGAGGTTCGAAGAGAGGGGGAGGATACGGTAAGTCTCGAATCCGGCAACTTTCAATCACCTAGAGGGCGACCATCCGTCCCAAAGAGGTGTCAGATTTATCGTCCAAAAGTGTCTCGTTAACAACATTATAAAGATTGGCGAGTGTGGCGACGAGGGCTGCGTAACTTATACTAAGAATCACCAAAGGGTATTCGCTGAAGGTCATACAGGTTTACGCACCAACCTCGGCACATCCTGATGAGGAAGTGGAAGAAATGTATGAGGATATCTCTAGAGCCATGCATTCCTCCTAAACCCACTTATACGATGTTAATAGGATGGGTGACATCAACGCAAAACTCGGCACAAGAGAGAACGGTGAGCTAAAGAAATGGAAATTTGGGATAGGGCAACGGAACCTAAGGGGTCAGCAGCTGGCCGACTTCATGGAGAATGAGGGACTCTTTATGATAAATTCTTTTTTCCAGAAGCAACCCAAAAGAAAGCCCCGGCGGTTAGAGAAAAAATGAGATTGAATTCATCATGATGATTAGACAGCATATGAATATGTGGACTATGAGAAAGCCTTTGATTACGTTGAAATTTGGGCGGTGCTTCAGTCCTTCTGCGGTGCCAAGTTGACTGCCGTTATATAGAGGTACTGAAGCCTTTGTACAGTAGAGCTACGGTGGCTATGAGAGTACAGCACCAGAGTACGAAACCTATCCAATTGCAGAGAGGTGTAAGACAGTGTGATGTTATATCACGAAACTCTTCACTGTTGCATTGGAAGACGTCGTCAAGCTACTGGACTGGAAAGAGGATTTGGACGTTATATCTCAGAAACTCTTTACCATTGCATTGGAAGACTACTGAACTGGAAAGGATACGATATTAACATCAATGGCGAGTACATCACTCACCTTCGATTTGAATTTAGTCCTTATGGCAGAATCACTGGAGGACCTAAGCACTATGCTCAATGGCCTCATTAATGATAGGTCTTAAGATAAACATGGACAAAACAAACGGTAGTAGTTGGGAGTATTACGCTCGAAGTTGTTGACAAGTACGTTTACCTAAGACAATTAGTCCGACTAGGTAAATCTATCTTCGACCGGGAGGTCAATCGACGGATTCAACTCATCTGGACATGGACTGGACTGTGCGTTCGGGAGATCACAACACATTTTCTCGTCAGGCATACTTCAAAACTTCAAAGGTTGTACCCAGTGCGTATTGCCAGTGATGACTTATGATATGGTCCTTTACAGCTGGCCGTATGAGTAATCTCGAGATAGCTCAGCAAGCTATGGAGAGGGCTATGGTCATGGTTTCTCTACGTGATAGACTTAAAAATGAGAATATCCGCAGTGGACCCAGAGTAAGATTAGTAAGCTGAAGTGGCAATGGGCACGGCATATAGCTCGAAAAAACTACAATCTTTTCAAATTCCCAAAGTTTTCGATTGGCAACGTCGTAGCAGTAGATGAAGTGTACGGTGTCGCTCCACTGGATGGAGTGACGACCTGCTAAAACATGCAGGAAGTCGTTGCATATAGGTGGCTCAAATTCGTGCTTTGTGACATCCCTTGAGGTCGGCTTATGTTCACCAGTGGACTTGTGAAGGGCTGTTATGATGAAGAGTTCTTGAAATTTCTCCAGTTGATTTCAGATACAGACATAATACCGCCATTTTCCTAAGGACCAATGTTTCACATTTAGTTACGTTTTTACATACAATTTTTAATAAATTATATGCCCGGTATCTTTACGACAATATTTACTGTACTTGCTAAGCTACTTGAACGATATAATTAAAGCAATTGGATGAAAAAATAATTCCACTGAATTTACATCGACTTTTCCAAAGTTTTCGTTATGTTTGACCACAGCATACTCATACATAAGCTGCTCTATGTCGATATTGCGTTTCTTTGTGAAGGTGGTGTGAGTCATACCTCAAGAATCAGTTACAACTAGCAAGTCTTCGTGGTTGCAAGTCTTCTACTAAATTGTTGCCCTCAGGGGTAGCCCAAGGTTCACAACTGGGACCCTGGTTTTTCTTATTGTGTATCATCGACCATGTATGCGAGACAAATGTACAATCAAATAGTACTGCAATCAATTCCTATACATTTAGCTCATTATTATTATAAAAAAGTGATATTTTTTCCATCCATTTGTGTACGAATTGTATGTACCTGCTCTAAAACAGCGATAAGACAGCTAAGTTCTTCAATCATACCTACGGGTTAAATGTATAATAATGAGAATTCTATTTCTGAGGAGAGTTATATTTAGGTACTACACACGTAGTCATAAACAGTCATTGTCACTTTAAAACCCGAAATTATGCAAATACAAGTGGAATTTGTTTTGTTCACGAATAACGCCCGGCCGATACAGGCCGATGGCGTGTCTCGTCTATCTTTCTCGTTCTCACAAACGCGTACACTGCTCTTTCTTTTTTTCATTACGAATTTATTTTAATGTCAATTTATAATACATCACTACCATCTCTGCACAGGGAGGACGACTCACTGGCCCAAGACGTAAGTGTGAGTGCTCCATGCCGGATGTGCTGTTCTCACAGCGCTCGGTTCGCAAAGCACTGCTCTCCCTGGACATCCAGAAGTCGAGTGGGCCTGACGGAATCCCCCCAATTGTGCTGAGGACGTGTGCTCCGGAGTTGGCACCGGTCCTAACGCGTCTTTTCCGGTACTCCTACTTCCAAGGCGTAGTCCCGAATTCATGGAAGATAGCTTTTGTCCACCCGATCCCTAAAAAAGGCGACCGCTCAGACCCGTCCAACTATAGGCCTATCGCCATCACCTCCTTGTTCTCCAAAATAATGGAATCCATTATTAACTGCCAGCTCATGCGGTACCTTGAGGGTCACCAGCTGATTAGTGACCGCCAATACGGTTTTCGTCTGGGTCGATCAGCTGGTGATCTTCTGGTCTACCTGACCCATAGATGGGCGGAGGCAGTAGAGTCCAAGGGGGAGGCGTTGGCCGTTAGCTTGGACATTGCGAAGGCCTTCGATCGGGTTTGGCACAAAGCGCTTCTTTCAAAGCTCCCTTCCTATTGGCTTCCCGAGAAATTGTGCGATTGGATCACCAGCTTCCTTGCAGATCGGAGTATCAAGGTCGTTGTAGACGGTGCATGCTCCGACCACAAGCCTATTAACGCTGGTGTTCCACAAGGCTGTGTGCTATCACCAACGCTGTTTCTTCTGCATATCTATGATATGGTTGCTAACTGGTAACATTCATTGCTATGCGGATGACAGCACTGGTGATGCTCTATACACCGGCCGTGCCAATATTTCTCGGGAAAACGTCGCCGAGTACCGGAACAAACTAGTGTCTGATGTCGAGTCTTTGCTGAACAAAGTCTCGGATTGAGGGCGACTAAATCTAGTCCAGTTTATCCTCAGAAGACACAAGTTTGCGCGTTTACCGCTAAAAAGAACCACTTTGTAGTATGTCCTCAGTTTCAAGGCACTCCCCTTGAAACTGAGGAATATCGCCCAGTATCGGAATCCTCGAAGTCGACATATCGAGTTACGTGCAGTTTCGTGGTCACTTGGAAGAGAAGGCCAAATTGGCCTCTAAAAAGCTTGGCGTAATCAGCAGAGCGGGACAGTATTTCATGCCGGCACACCGCCTGCAACTTTAAAAGGCGCAGGTTCGGCCTCACATGGAATACTGTTCCCATCTTTGGGTAGGGGCTCCCCAGTGCCAGCTCCTTCCACTTGACCGCATCCAGCGCAGAGCGGCTCGAATCGTCAACGACCGAGTCCTTTCCGATCGGCTTGATTCATTGGCACTGCGATGTACCACGGGGAGTGCTCTGAGGAATTGTTCGTACTAATCCCAGCCGCTAAATTTCACGAACGCACATCGCGGCAGAACTCCCGATACCATCCACACCATCTGGATGATTGACGGTCCACCACTGTGCGATTTAGAAGATGTTTTCTTCCTCGCACGACTTCCTTCTGGAATCGATTACCATCAGCGATTTTTCTGGACCAATACGACTTAGGAGCCTTCAAGAAAAGAGCGTATTCCTTTTTAAAAGGCCGGCAACGCATCTGCGATTCCCTCCCTGGTGTTGAAGCTGTTCATGGGTGGCGGTAGTCACTTATCATCAGATGAGTCGCGTGCTCGTTTGCCCCCTCTCCTATAAAAAAAATAATAAAGCTGTGTTTTTCATATGTATGATCACGCAGGACCCTGCGGCGTTGCGCAACAGTGCAGGCGAGCGTGCGCTGCGCTCGGTGCTGACGTCAGCGCAGCGCGCCGCAGAGCACCTCGCGCCCGACCTGGCCGACACCGTGCGCCGCGACGTCAGGTGTGTACACACGCACACGCACACGCACGTACACACACACATTGCAAGTGCGCTCGGTGCTGACGTCAGCGCAGCGCGCCGCAGAGCACCTCGCGCCCGACCTGGCCGACACCGTGCGCCGCGACGTCAGGTGTGTACACACGCACACGCACACGCACGTACACACACACATTGCAAGTGCGCTCGGTGCTGACGTCAGCGCAGCGCGCCGCAGAGCACCTCGCGCCCGACCTGGCCGACACCGTGCGCCGCGACGTCAGGTGTGTACACACGCACACGCACACGCACGTACACACACACATTGCAAGTGCGCTCGGTGCTGACGTCAGCGCAGCGCGCCGCAGAGCACCTCGCGCCCGACCTGGCCGACACCGTGCGCCGCGACGTCAGGTGTGTACACACGCACACGCACACGCACGTACACACACACATTGCAAGTGCGCTCGGTGCTGACGTCAGCGCAGCGCGCCGCAGAGCACCTCGCGCCCGACCTGGCCGACACCGTGCGCCGCGACGTCAGGTGTGTACACACGCACACGCACACGCACGTACACACACACATTGCAAGTGCGCTCGGTGCTGACGTCAGCGCAGCGCGCCGCAGAGCACCTCGCGCCCGACCTGGCCGACACCGTGCGCCGCGACGTCAGGTGTGTACACACGCACACGCACACGCACACGCACGTACACACACACATTGCAAGTGCGCTCGGTGCTGACGTCAGCGCAGCGCGCCGCAGAGCACCTCGCGCCCGACCTGGCCGACACCGTGCGCCGCGACGTCAGGTGTGTACACACGCACACGCACACGCACGTACACACACACATTGCAAGTGCGCTCGGTGCTGACGTCAGCGCAGCGCGCCGCAGAGCACCTCGCGCCCGACCTGGCCGACACCGTGCGCCGCGACGTCAGGTGTGTACACACGCACACGCACACGCACACGCACGTACACACACACATTGCAAGTGCGCTCGGTGCTGACGTCAGCGCAGCGCGCCGCAGAGCACCTCGCGCCCGACCTGGCCGACACCGTGCGCCGCGACGTCAGGTGTGTACACACGCACACGCACACGCACGTACACACACACATTGCAAGTGCGCTCGGTGCTGACGTCAGCGCAGCGCGCCGCAGAGCACCTCGCGCCCGACCTGGCCGACACCGTGCGCCGCGACGTCAGGTGTGTACACACGCACACGCACACGCACGTACACACACACATTGCAAGTGCGCTCGGTGCTGACGTCAGCGCAGCGCGCCGCAGAGCACCTCGCGCCCGACCTGGCCGACACCGTGCGCCGCGACGTCAGGTGTGTACACACGCACACGCACACGCACGTACACACACACATTGCAAGTGCGCTCGGTGCTGACGTCAGCGCAGCGCGCCGCAGAGCACCTCGCGCCCGACCTGGCCGACACCGTGCGCCGCGACGTCAGGTGTGTACACACGCACACGCACACGCACGTACACACACACATTGCAAGTGCGCTCGGTGCTGACGTCAGCGCAGCGCGCCGCAGAGCACCTCGCGCCCGACCTGGCCGACACCGTGCGCCGCGACGTCAGGTGTGTACACACGCACACGCACACGCACACGCACGTACACACACACATTGCAAGTGCGCTCGGTGCTGACGTCAGCGCAGCGCGCCGCAGAGCACCTCGCGCCCGACCTGGCCGACACCGTGCGCCGCGACGTCAGGTGTGTACACACGCACACGCACACGCACGTACACACACACATTGCAAGTGCGCTCGGTGCTGACGTCAGCGCAGCGCGCCGCAGAGCACCTCGCGCCCGACCTGGCCGACACCGTGCGCCGCGACGTCAGGTGTGTACACACGCACACGCACACGCACACGCACGTACACACACACATTGCAAGTGCGCTCGGTGCTGACGTCAGCGCAGCGCGCCGCAGAGCACCTCGCGCCCGACCTGGCCGACACCGTGCGCCGCGACGTCAGGTGTGTACACACGCACACGCACACGCACACGCACGTACACACACACATTGCAAGTGCGCTCGGTGCTGACGTCAGCGCAGCGCGCCGCAGAGCACCTCGCGCCCGACCTGGCCGACACCGTGCGCCGCGACGTCAGGTGTGTACACACGCACACGCACACGCACGTACACACACACATTGCAAGTGCGCTCGGTGCTGACGTCAGCGCAGCGCGCCGCAGAGCACCTCGCGCCCGACCTGGCCGACACCGTGCGCCGCGACGTCAGGTGTGTACACACGCACACGCACACGCACACGCACGTACACACACACATTGCAAGTGCGCTCGGTGCTGACGTCAGCGCAGCGCGCCGCAGAGCACCTCGCGCCCGACCTGGCCGACACCGTGCGCCGCGACGTCAGGTGTGTACACACGCACACGCACACGCACGTACACACACACATTGCAAGTGCGCTCGGTGCTGACGTCAGCGCAGCGCGCCGCAGAGCACCTCGCGCCCGACCTGGCCGACACCGTGCGCCGCGACGTCAGGTGTGTACACACGCACACGCACACGCACGTACACACACACATTGCAAGTGCGCTCGGTGCTGACGTCAGCGCAGCGCGCCGCAGAGCACCTCGCGCCCGACCTGGCCGACACCGTGCGCCGCGACGTCAGGTGTGTACACACGCACACGCACACGCACGTACACACACACATTGCAAGTGCGCTCGGTGCTGACGTCAGCGCAGCGCGCCGCAGAGCACCTCGCGCCCGACCTGGCCGACACCGTGCGCCGCGACGTCAGGTGTGTACACACGCACACGCACACGCACGTACACACACACATTGCAAGTGCGCTCGGTGCTGACGTCAGCGCAGCGCGCCGCAGAGCACCTCGCGCCCGACCTGGCCGACACCGTGCGCCGCGACGTCAGGTGTGTACACACGCACACGCACACGCACGTACACACACACATTGCAAGTGCGCTCGGTGCTGACGTCAGCGCAGCGCGCCGCAGAGCACCTCGCGCCCGACTTGGCCGACACCGTGCGCCGCGACGTCAGGTGTGTACACACGCACACGCACACGCACACGCACGTACACACACACATTGCAAGTGCGCTCGGTGCTGACGTCAGCGCAGCGCGCCGCAGAGCACCTCGCGCCCGACCTGGCCGACACCGTGCGCCGCGACGTCAGGTGTGTACACACGCACACGCACACGCACGTACACACACACATTGCAAGTGCGCTCGGTGCTGACGTCAGCGCAGCGCGCCGCAGAGCACCTCGCGCCCGACTTGGCCGACACCGTGCGCCGCGACGCCAGGTGTGTACACACGCACACGCACACGCACGTACACACACACATTGCAAGTGCGCTCGGTGCTGACGTCAGCGCAGCGCGCCGCAGAGCACCTCGCGCCCGACCTGGCCGACACCGTGCGCCGCGACGTCAGGTGTGTACACACGCACACGCACACGCACACGCACGTACACACACACATTGCAAGTGCGTCAGCGCAGCGCGCCGCAGAGCACCTCGCGCCCGACCTGGCCGACACCGTGCGCCGCGACGTCAGGTGTGTACACACGCACACGCACACGCACGTACACACACACATTGCAAGTGCGCTCGGTGCTGACGTCAGCGCAGCGCGCCGCAGAGCACCTCGCGCCCGACCTGGCCGACACCGTGCGCCGCGACGTCAGGTGTGTACACACGCACACGCACACGCACACGCACGTACACACACACATTGCAAGTGCGCTCGGTGCTGACGTCAGCGCAGCGCGCCGCAGAGCACCTCGCGCCCGACCTGGCCGACACCGTGCGCCGCGACGTCAGGTGTGTACACACGCACACGCACACGCACACGCACGTACACACACACATTGCAAGTGCGCTCGGTGCTGACGTCAGCGCAGCGCGCCGCAGAGCACCTCGCGCCCGACCTGGCCGACACCGTGCGCCGCGACGTCAGGTGTGTACACACGCACACGCACACGCACGTACACACACACATTGCAAGTGCGCTCGGTGCTGACGTCAGCGCAGCGCGCCGCAGAGCACCTCGCGCCCGACCTGGCCGACACCGTGCGCCGCGACGTCAGGTGTGTACACACGCACACGCACACGCACACGCACGTACACACACACATTGCAAGTGCGCTCGGTGCTGACGTCAGCGCAGCGCGCCGCAGAGCACCTCGCGCCCGACCTGGCCGACACCGTGCGCCGCGACGTCAGGTGTGTACACACGCACACGCACACGCACGTACACACACACATTGCAAGTGCGCTCGGTGCTGACGTCAGCGCAGCGCGCCGCAGAGCACCTCGCGCCCGACCTGGCCGACACCGTGCGCCGCGACGTCAGGTGTGTACACACGCACACGCACACGCACGTACACACACACATTGCAAGTGCGCTCGGTGCTGACGTCAGCGCAGCGCGCCGCAGAGCACCTCGCGCCCGACCTGGCCGACACCGTGCGCCGCGACGTCAGGTGTGTACACACGCACACGCACACGCACGCACGTACACACACACATTGCAAGTGCGCTCGGTGCTGACGTCAGCGCAGCGCGCCGCAGAGCACCTCGCGCCCGACCTGGCCGACACCGTGCGCCGCGACGTCAGGTGTGTACACACGCACACGCACACGCACGTACACACACACATTGCAAGTGCGCTCGGTGCTGACGTCAGCGCAGCGCGCCGCAGAGCACCTCGCGCCCGACCTGGCCGACACCGTGCGCCGCGACGTCAGGTGTGTACACACGCACACCCACGCACACGCACGTACACACACACATTGCAAGTGCGCTCGGTGCTGACGTCAGCGCAGCGCGCCGCAGAGCACCTCGCGCCCGACCTGGCCGACACCGTGCGCCGCGACGTCAGGTGTGTACACACGCACACGCACACGCACGTACACACACACATTGCAAGTGCGCTCGGTGCTGACGTCAGCGCAGCGCGCCGCAGAGCACCTCGCGCCCGACCTGGCCGACACCGTGCGCCGCGACGTCA